ACTGGGGACCCCAGGGTTTAGGGTTTAGGGTTCAGGGTTTAGGGTTTAGGGTAACAGGGAACCTTAAGAATATAGTAGGTATACAATAGTAATAGGTTCCCCTTCAAGTCCCTTTTTTGGACGTTGTTTCGCAGATGTACAAGTCTGCCTTTTTGCCTACTGATGTTCTCCTTGTCATCTAGACACTAGAAGTTATGTTCTTTCGAATGACAGAGTAAACCTTAAACCCTTACACCCCTAAACCCTAAACCCTAGGGCTGAGGGCTTGGGATACGCTAGTCACAATGGCTTGGGCCAATGGACTAGCTTCAGCTTCTGTGGATTTCGGCTGAGAGGCTGTTACCATGATCGTTTCTGCGGAAAAAACAGGGGTGGACCTGGGTTTTTTGCGGTCATCAAGTATACCCCATTTATCTTGCTGATAGAGCCTCATGTGCACTACCCAGCCGGCAAGTTGTTTGTTGCTGAGCCTTTTCCTGTGCAACTCCCCCTTAATCACCAGTATGATAGCGTCCTTTACATTAAGTCAGTATCGGTGCTAATCATGTGGACGCTTCAAGTTACCAGTTTCATTATGGTCCCTAGTCTTCACCAACCAAAGGCATGCTCATGCTCCTCCAAGGAGCCCTAGGTGTGAATAGTCGCAAGAGAAACTTACACTTTTGATTTGAAACATCGTTGTGCTTACATTCTACAATGAACGGGCCTCAAAGGCTTTTAATGCCTGATTTGAAAATTAAGCCTGGGAAATGGCGCGGTCGTGCAGATCCGCGTCTGCGGCACTTTCATGATGCCAGATGCATGAAATCGCATATCAAGCCCTGCATGCTCCGAGGGGTTTATAGACCTCGCAAGCCTCCAAAGTGCCCCAGGCGTCAACGCCCCAAACCCTAACTTCCAACAAAAAGCAGACCGTAGCATTGCAGGCGATCCTCACAAAGGTGCAGGAGGAGGCTCTTGCACAAGCCTTGGCCGTAACTATGGTCTTAGGATCTGGCAGCTGCTTAACAAGCTCCTATAAAATGAGCTTGTATGAAAAAAAAAACTCGTGGAGGGCCCCTAAAATACTATTAGCTACATTCCCCACATATCCCTGCGCCCCTCTGGCACGTTCAGTTTGTCGTTGATTGCTGTTGATGCAAAGAAGCAAGGAAGCCCACTTTTGAGGCTGCGCCTTGACATGTGGTTTGCGTGTTTTAGGGTTTGCCTAGAGCTCCCAGATACCCATAGCGACAGGCGACAGACCGCTCATCTTGGGGTTAAGGGCCAGCATTCCTTAACACTTAGAAATTTAGGGCTTGACCTAATACATTTGTGTCATTTCAAGACATAACGTGGATGAACATGGGTTTCGTCACACGTTCTCCTGCAGTTTCTGCATTCCAAGGCGTGATGTGTGGGCCGGTCCCAATCCACATACTTTACGTGATAGCAAGTGGTCTGTGGCGGTGCAACAGTGTCAACAGAGATTTGGAGGCCCAAACCCTGAACCCAGAAATTGTAGTTTCCATTTTCTTTGCCATTATCCCAGTACATCCCCATTTGCCCCTAAACCCAAAAATAGTAGTTCCATTTTCTTTTCCATTATCCCAATACAGCCCCATTTGCCGCTAAACCCTCAAAAAGTAGTTCCATTTTCTTTTCCATTATCCCAATACAGCCCCATTTGCCGCTAAACCCCCAAAAAGTAGTTCCATTTTCTTTTCCATTATCCAATACGGCCCCATTTACCGCTAAACCCTCAAAAATAGTTCCATGTTCTGTTCCACTATCCCAGTGTATTCCCATTACCCCGGGGCCATCTTGCTTGCTTGGCTACTTCCAAACCTGGGTTGCTGTTGAGGAGCTTAAGTTAAGTTACCACAATGCATATATGTTATAGCTGTTAATATGTTCCACAAACTATTCTAACTGAAGTTAAGTTCCTTTGCAGCAACCCAGTAGTAGACTCAGCTCCTTCCTTGAAATTCTTGATCCACTCTTTCCCGGGAAGTAGTTCATCCCAGAACAGGAAAGCAACTTACTGCAGAGGTTGCGCAAGAAGAAAGCCCAACTTAGAACCAAGGGATATCCTCGATATTTCTAGCAATGTTGCTATGGATAACACTAGCATGTTGTCATATACCCACCTGGGTGGTTATCAGGGAACAAGGGAATATAATCCCTAATATATATATATATACATATATGTAGATTCCCTTATTCCTACCAACCTCCAATGTGATTCGTTTGGCTCTGGCCCCCAGGTCACAAAGTCGATCTTCTCTGACGTCTCGCGAATGGCCCTGTGCTGAGTGGTGCGGTATGGGGGTTCCCAAAATATGGGGCACCTTTTTGTGGGTCCCTATAACAAAGGTTATAGCATTTTGGAGTCTAACAGGGTCCCCCTATTTTGGAAACTACCATATCTTACCAGTGGTTTGCGTACGTGCTTGAGGCATTCATGTCTCAGATGCTAGGTGACCAGGTGCTATGATTGTGTTGTAGCTAGGCCACCTAGACCCAGAGGGTGCTGCCAGAAGTTCCCAATGAAGGATTTAGGTTTAGTGCTCAGGCTACTATTCTACATGCTTTTGGGGTCCAGGTGCTGCATTGAGTTTACAATGAGTACCAGTTAGGATCCCATCCTTCACGGTAGGACTCATAAGAGGGACTGTGACAGTGGCATGTACCCTGTCCAGCCCTCAGCCCTAAAATTTAGCTGAACCGCAAGAAATGTAGAATAGTGGCTTTTAGGCTGTTTTAAAGGATTTTGGGCGATTTTTTACCTACTGTGTGGGTTTAGGTAGTCTTAATTACCACACTTGCATTCCTAGGCCCTCATGTTCGGTAACTGCCTGGGCTGCGGACATACTGGACAGCGTTTAGGGTTAAGTGTTTAGGGGTTTAGGGTTTAGGGGTTTAGGGTTTAGGGTTTACGGTTTAAGGTTTAGCGTTTAGGGTTAAGGGTTTAGGGTTCCTGTAGTATAGACTTAGGTCCCAGATGGTTCCCATGTGGGGACTTTACGGCCGAAGCATATACGATACAAGCCACTGTCAATACTGGCCTTCATTTAGGGTGGACATCGGGGTCCCCCGTGTAGTTAAGTATAGTCCCTAATATAATCCCTGATATGTCAGTTATGACTGTAGCGATTAACCCTAAACCCTAAACCTATACTCGGGCATCTTGGGATACAGAACCAGAAGTCGTCGGAGGGGCTTCTCAAAAGAGCGTATACTTTGAGGATGCTGGCGATATATTTGCGTGGCGATATGGGAGCTTCTCAAAAGCATACCTATGTAAGTCTTCTCAGGCACATACTTGAGAAACTCCCATGAGGCAAGCCTTTAGCTCTCTTAGAAACTTGCTGAAGATGCGCAGACCTTCCTCAATATCAATATCCTTGCAGAGCCTATGCCATCATCTTGGAAGATTACCCAAAGCCTTTCCAAGTAGTCAGGATGGTACACGGCTCAGCTAAAGCTTGCTGATTGCAATCCCAAGATGCAGTAACATCTTGTCAGGGCTCCAGAGCAACCCTAAACTTTACTTGAACCCCCTAAGGGGTAGTTACCATTAAGCTGCAGGTCATTGGTGTTACAGGCAAATCCTAAGCCCCGAACCCTGGTGAGCTTTTTCCACTCCAGGCCCTTGGAAGCTGTCAAGCGTTTAGGTTTCAAGTTTAGGTTTTAAGTTTTAGCCCCTTATATAGGAAGACCTCAATTAATTGGACCGCAAAGGGTAGATGAAACAATGGCACAAAATCCACAAGCAAGAGTCAACTAGACTATTATTCTAGATACTTTGGGGTCCAGGTATGTCGTTCAAGCCTAATCTAAAATCTACCCAGAAGACTCATCTCACGACATAGCTCAGCGGTCCAGCACCAATCTGTGCACTCAGTTCTATTGGAAACACTAATCCCCCTAAACCATTGTGAGGTTGGTTTTTGTGTTAAACAGGCATTCTGGAACCAGAGTATGGTAAATTTCTCTATAATCCACAATTAAATCCCAGTTTCCATGTCAGCCATGTCATTCCCCATTTGGTTATCCATGTGGGTGATATCCCTAAACCCCAAACCTTAAACGCTACACCTTAATCCCTATATAGTCCCCATTGTTGCGCTGAGTCCCAGTGAAGCTCACTCAGAGGCTCCCATATAGTTCCTTGTGGTTTGTTCTGTCTGTCTTGGCTACTGGAGTACAATAGACTACCCATAAAGTGAACTATATATGATCCAGGTGGAACTGAAACTGATCGCATCCGATTTTGAGATAGTTCGGAGGGTGGCTTCCTAAACTGCTCCTTTGTTAGTTTAAAAGCGGCCCTTGAGTTTCGTACTATCTCCGTTCAACAGCGCACTTTAAGGGTTGAGAGTTAAGGCCTTCGGGATCATCCCACCACCGCAACAACTGATACACACGTTCGCTGGCCCCCTTAGTAACCCCAAAGTCCCGCAGAGTGACCACCGCGCCCCAGGGAAACAAGTTGGAAACGATGGCTTGAGCCTCATATCGGACTTTCAAGATGCGAGGTGTACTTCAAATCATTTTGCAGTCCGAGAGAGCACCTTAGAATTTGGTGTTTATGTAGGTTTAGGGTTTAGGGTGGTGCAGACTTCGTAAGTAGGCTAATACTAGTTTGTTGGGTATAGCAGTGGTTACTCCAGGGTTTCTACTGGGGTGATAAGTATACTTACTAAGCCCCCTTCTGACCGTTCTTCCTCCCACAAGCATGGACCCCAAAACCCAAACCGTTTACAAAGGCCTCCTTGAAAGTTACAGCACTCATTTCAGAGACTGCGTTGGGGAGTTGCATGTTTATGTGTAGAAGGGTCTTTGGGCGGCAGGCGAGGGGTTGAGGTGTAGCATAGCTAGGGTTTCTACACTGGCAATACATGGGAAGCATGAGGATTGCATTCGGATTTTCGGACAAGTTCCAATGTTTTAGAATTGTAAGGGCTTACTCACAAGTGCACAGGGTAGGGACCCCTTTTAGAAAACAAGACGCACGGGGTTTTCGATCCCCTGCCCCTTATACTGAATCAACAAAACCCTGTCTGCCTGACAATAACATTCCCCTTCGTGTATATCAGTCGACTCCATTGGGGGAGGTGCATTTGTTATTTGAGGGGGCTACCACGATGATTATTAACATGATTATTAGGAGATTGGGGGGATAGGTTTAGGGTTTAAGGTTTAGGGCTCGGGGTTTAGGGTTTAGGGTTTAGGGTTTAGGGCTTCGGGTTTAGGGCTTAGGGTTCAGGGCTTAGGGGATAGATGCGGCTACAGATGCTCACCTTGAGGCTTAGCGGCATGTGCCCTGAACCCATAACCTTTCATCCGGACCTTTCTCGCCCTTTTGCAACCTATACCTTAGGTGGACCCCCCACCCAGTAATAGTGACTATAAGGGATAATAGGGATTACATTAGGGTCCTCTTATATTCTTATTATACCACTATTACAGGGTGGGGGGTCCTCCTAACCTCTACTGAGCATTGGGGAAGTTGTCTTCCGGCAGGACAAGCGCTTCATG